CTCAACGGGAATGCTATGGAGGTTTGCCGGCAGGGTGAGATCAGGCAGGGGATCTCAGAATGGGGTCCTCTGCCCCCTGCTGCAGGGCTGCCACAGAGAACAGATTCCCAGGCCCCAGCCCGGATCCGAATCAGGATCTCTGGCACGAAAGGCCTCCAAGAATCCGCCCTGTAAACAAGCAGCTCCAGGGACCCTGAGCTCTCCCTGAAGTCTGCGGCTCTGGGCGGTGGAACAGACACAGGTGTCAGACAGACCTGGGCTCCGATCCCAGCCCCATCCCTCCAGTCTTGTGACTAGCTGAAGCCCTCAGTGGCTGAGGTCCCTTGTTTATGAAGTGGGAATAATGGTGACAGCTACCGTATAGGCTTATAGAGGGACTGAGTTAGTCAATACCTATAAAGCCCTGAGCACTGTGCCTCATGCAAGAAGTACCAAGCAGACCTTAAAGGGGCACTTCTACTGTGGGCCACACAGCTGGAACGTCCCATCCCTCAGGTGCCCCCACAGAGCTACAGATAGAAGATCCTGCTCTCAACTTTACCTTTGTCAGTGGCAAAGTTCTGTTGGCTGCTAGGTTTCCCCACGTATCAATTTAAGAGGCTGGAGTAAAAGCGGAAGGAGACTGGAGGGCAGTGACCTAGGGCAGCCCCTATCTGAGTCTACCGCGGTGGCCTCCCTCGCCACCACAACCTGACCAAAGAAAGTTCTAGAGCCCTCTCGTCAAGGTGTGGCTTTTGACTTGAGTCCACGCCTGTCCATTCTGCCTCCCATGAGTGGCTCAGGACTGCCTCCGGAATAGGCTCCAGCTTCACCCATGGCCACTGCTCTTGCCTGAATTGAGGCTCCAACACCTCTTGCTGCACCATTCCAACAACCTCCTCGCTGTTCTCTGTGCCTCCCATCTCTCCCTTCCAGTCCAGCCTTAACATTGCACCAGCATGCTCCGAACACAGGTCTGATGGTGTCATTCCTCTACTTGAGAGCCACCAACCAGTCCCCATTCTCTGCTGGATCCAGCACAGCCCTAGCATTCAAGACCCTCCACCAAAGAATACTATGGGCTTCTCTGATTTCCCATTTCTCCACTTCAGCAAGTAGTGTTCCTTGGTCACCTGGTCCTCCCTGGGTCCCTCTGGCCCTGGGCCATCCCTGTAGCAGGCTACCCAGAGGAGCAGGATAAGTAGACCCTGTCCTTGCCTTTGGGGATCCCTATCTAGAAAGGAAACCACTTCAGTTAATGAGCTAATCAACAAGAAGGTGTGGGACTAGAGCCAGCTGGGACAAGGAGTCTCTTGACACTTCAGCCTCTCCTAACCTCCCCCCCCCCAACAACCCCCAGGCCTGGGGAAAACAGGCTTCCCCAGGAAGACCCAGCCCATGAGGCAATACCCATGAAGTGCTCCCTGTGGGCCCAGGTACGTCACAAATACCCTCTACCAGGGGGCCAAGAGCAGAGAATGCCTTGGAGTCACATAGCCCTCGTGAATATCCCACTTCTGCTCGCTGTGTGACCTCTGACATTTCACCTCTCTGGGCCTCAGCCCGTAACTCTGAAAGAGGAGTAAGAACACCTAACTTGTAGGGTTCTTCTACTAGAAACTAAGTGGCCACCAAACGCTTTGAAGAAGGGACACGCCTAAAGCAGTAAGAGACATGAGAGAACACAACACCCAAGGGCCTCCCCAGCTCTGAGAGTCAGGCACTCGGATTCCTGATGCTGAGGTTCCGAGAAGTCCAACTCACGTCAGACACGAGGAAAGGCAGGGGAAATGCCAGGGCTTGCGACAAGAGAGGTGTGCTCGCACACACACCTGCACGTGCACCGCAGCCCCCAGCGTGTCCCCTTAGCATGCTGCAGTCTGTCCCCTCAGCCAGGCTCAGGTCCATCCGCACCGGGGCCTCCACAGCACCCTCCCTAGGAGCCAGATCCTTCTTGGAACCTTCCAGGGATCCAGTGCAGAAAAGAGGAAGACAGGCTGTGGGGGGAGCACTGCAGAGGAGAGGAAGCCCCAGGCCTGTGTGGCACACACAGGTCTCAGCCTCTCAGGCCCATTTTCTTCATATGCTAAGCTGGGCAGAGATATCCACCCAGCCTTCCTCGCCAAGCTGCTATTCTATAGGCTTAGCACTTAATTCCCCATAGATGGATATGCATAGAATTCATTAACTGCAAAGGGCTTTGAATGCCCTCAACAAAAAAGGCAAGGTCTGGAAATCCATACTAGGACACCCCCTGGGATCCCCAGGTGACTGGTGACGAGAGTCTCATTGCCATCAGCATTTAGTTGAGGTTCTGTGCTTTTAAACCAGTCTCTGTCCATCTTAAGCCTCTTTTTCGCGTCTGTAAAATGGATTTAAATGGTGCCCTGTCTTCTTTCCAAGGCCGTTTTGAGCCTAGTATAGCAGAGTGGACCAAGCTCTGACACTGGTGGCCGGTAACACTCAGCAGGCTAGTATCTCGAAGCTTTGGTTTGCTGACCCAAATGTAGGAGAAAGGAGCAGGTACCTCTCAGGAGAGTTACGAGACTTCAATGGGATTGTGTGTAAAACTATTGGGAGCGCCTCACAGCCAGGTGGTCGTTTCACCTTCCTATGCTAATCCATTCCTTGGACTCCCACACAAGCTCATGCCCTTCCCTGCACCTGAACACCCTTCCTGCTTCAGCTGCCGAAGTCCTGCTCGCTTTTCAAAGCCTAACTTATGTGACCCTCCTCCCACCCCCGACCATGAAATGGTTCTTATTCCTCCTTACAAAGGAAAAAGAGGGTCTCTCCCTCCTTTGAGTCCCTTCTTGGTACTTCCCTCCCTCTGACATTGGTCCAACCCCCCTTGCGCTAGTTATTTGTGGGTGTATCTGATGCTCCGCAAGTTCCTCGCAGGCAAGTCACACAGACTGTTTTTGCTCGTCCCCAGATTTCCTGGAATCTGGCATGAGGTGGGTCTCAGGGAGTCCCCCAACCGTGGCAAGGACTTGGGACTTTGTTCCGAATAAGGAGGGGGACTGGATAGTTTTAAAACAGGGAAGTGACACGATCTCACTTCTGTACTGTAGGCTTGAACACCGGGTTGGGTCCCCACCCAGAAAACCGCTCCTTCATCTGCCGTTTGGGCCTAACGTTTAGAATCGATGCGTGATTTCCTTCAGAGCTCAGTGCCTGCTAAAATGCATATTAATCATCATAGGTTATACATCAAGTTTAAAACACAAAAACAAAATTGTAACTAGAACTTCAGGCTTGCAAAATCAAAATGAACGCATCCCCTTCCTCTGGGCCTGATTTAACCATTGTCCATCCACACTATGATGCAGGCTTCCAGACTGGGAGCTGGTGGCTGGTGAGGTCCAACCTCAGCTCTTCTTCCTCTGTCCCACCTCCTTAATTCCCTGGATAATTCAACACCTATCTGCAAGCTCCTTGAGGGTAAGGGCCAGACATGATTCATTCCATGTCTTTCCTTCCCTAGCACCTACCGCAGGGGTCAAGAACATCTGATCATTCAGATAGTCACTTATCTGACTATCTTGCTAACTGTAAGCAAGCAAACAGTTTAGGTGCCATGTAGGGTGAGGGAACAGCACAGAGAGAACCAGAGTTGTAGACGGCAGTCCTGAAAGAAGACTTGAGTGGTCACCCCTATCTTTTGGCATCCAACTTACCACTGAAGAACAGGTAACATATTATTCTCATTTACCCAAGATGTTAAATGACATAGCCAAGGTCTCACCACCCGTTAGTAAGCCACAAAGACAGGGCGGAGCTCAGGTTTCCTCACCACAGGATCAGAGTTTTCCTGGTGCCCCAACAGGGAAGGCAACACACAGTGCCCACTTCACAGCTCTATGGGACTGGCCCTGGTTCCAGAGGTGAGGACACAGAAGGGTTCAGGACCCCCCACACTAGGGGTATGTGTGAGTTGGATGCCAGTGGGGTGACCTGCTAAGAAATGTCATCAGCACCAGAAGCCTGACGCATAGAAGTCCAGATTATAAGAATGCAGGGCTGCCCGTGACCGCCTCCCAAGGCAAGCGCAGCTACACCGGGACCTTCAGATGTAAAGGTCCCCCTGCCAGGAGCAGTGTGGGTGTGGGCACATGTACACGCCAAGAGATGAGGCACATTCTCCTGACCCAAGACTGAGCCTCCTTTTCTGAGAAGCTCATCCTCTTCAGCCAAGAAGGGATGACCTCACACCTCTGAGCCAGGCAGGTCAGCTGCCACTGTCCCCCAACACTGGCAGCAGGATGTAGCCCTATCTCCCTAGGAGCCCTGGGGAGGCAGAGCAGCAGAGGGGCCCAGGACCAGTTTCCCTCCCTTCTCCACAGCAGACCATCAGCCCGCAAATCCCACAGTGTTGGAAGGAAAACGCCTCTAGTTATAGATTAACCATCTATGACAAGGAATCGAAGGCTGGGAAGGGTTTTGATTTAAGTAGAGTAAGAGTATATTCAGGCAGCCTTGCATAACAAGCCTTCATCCAAGATAACTAACAGTTCAGTTGAGTCACGAGGTGCATTTATTTAGTTGATTTGGGATAGAAAGACCTGAAGCAGGGAGACCTGGCAGTCTCTCTGGACACTTCAAGGAGTAGGTCCTTTCCAGAGGGCAGCTGGATGTGAGGGAAAGAGAACAGGGCTCTGGGGTGCAGTCAGAATGAGGTCTGGTCCCTGCCTGAGCCTCAGTTTCCTCCTCTAAAGGATGAAGATCCACCCGGTCAGTGGAGGGAGGAGGGGGAAGGTGAGGATCGCAAGGGATGACCTGTCCCAACAAGCCAAATCCACACCACTAAGCATAGCAATGCCCAGGCTTTTCTCTCACCAAAGCCTCTCCCAGTGCTGAAAGGAGCCTGGGGATAGGTCCAAATGGCCCAGATCCCATCTGCCTCCTCTGGCCTGTCTCCTGCAGCCTCCTCCCTGCACTAAAGCTCAGAGCTGCAAAGTGGCCTCTCTCCTTGGACCTCTGCTGGGCCCTGGACGGACCAGGCAGAACCTTCTGGGACCATGGTGGGACTAAAGCCTTCAGACGTACCTCCCACAACAGCTGTGAAGTTCCTGGGGGCAGGCACAGCGGCCTGTTTCGCTGATCTCGTCACCTTTCCACTGGACACGGCCAAGGTTCGCCTGCAGGTACGTGCTTTTGGGCAGGGGTCATTGTTTGGATCACAGGAGGGGCTGAGCTCTCCGTGCCAGCACCCTTCGTGTCTGCCAGCATGCTCTTCCTTACACAGAACCCTGAGCAGGCCGCTCCCTCCACTGCTTTCAACCCTGCCTCACCACGTCCCCATCACCATCATCCAAGACAAAAACATCTTAATTCCTTGGACCCTTCATGGCCTCACAGTACTCTAAACCATCAAGCGTGAAATAAAAGTAACCATGTGACCTTGGACAAACCCCCAACCATTTGTTGTGGGAAAAGCAATCTGCCCTCCACGTGCTCTGAGGGTTGAGCTGACCACACCGTGTATCACAGCTTCTGAGCTATAAACCGCCACACAAACCTCAGTTGTTTTTCCTGGGATGTGATGGCTGTATAGTCATGCTTGTTCTTGAAAACCAGCCCCATCTGCCCCATCTCTGCTCATGTCTCTGCCGGGATGTTCCTCAGATCCAGGGGGAGAACCAGGCAACTCAGGCAGCCCGGAGAACCCAGTACCGTGGCGTGCTGGGCACCATCCTGACCATGGTCCGCACCGAGGGCCCCCGCAGCCCCTACAACGGGCTGGTCGCCGGCCTGCAGCGCCAGATGAGCTTTGCCTCCATCCGCATCGGCCTCTACGACTCTGTCAAGCAGTTCTACACCCCCAAAGGATCGGACCGTGAGTGCCTGGTATCTTGTAGACCCCGAGGCGGTGGGCAGAAGCAGACTCAAGGCTAGTGGGTCAGAGATGAGGGCAGACTCAGAGGCAGAGCTAGGGTGTGGGAGCCTGGCAATAGACACTCATGAGGAGGCTGAACCACTATCAGGAAAGTTCTAGAACCCAGGCATCAGGCAGGGGTAGCTCCACAGAGAACAGCATCAAGCCCAGAGAAGAACTGGGTGGCAGAACACTGGCCCACTCTCTCTCCTTCTCTCCAGACTCCAGCATCACTACCCGGATTTTGGCAGGCTGCACCACAGGAGCCATGGCGGTATCATGTGCACAGCCCACGGATGTGGTGAAGGTCCGATTTCAGGCCAGCATACACCTTGGGGCCGGGAGCAGCAGGAAGTACAGTGGGACGATGGATGCCTACAGGACCATTGCCAGAGAGGAAGGGATCAGAGGCCTATGGAAAGGTAGGTCTGGACTCCAGCCTCAGAGGGTCTTGGGCAGAGCATTTGCTACCCTAGGGTTAGGGCAGAGGCCCAGGCAAGGAGAGATCTCCCAAGCATGGTGTATTCCAGTGATGCTGAAAGAACACCTCAACCAAAACTGTCGCACTGCCCAGACACAGTGCCCCGAATTCAGTTCAACTTATAAACCCATCAGCGTGTGCACACTGCTATGAGGGAGACAGAAATGAATAGAAGACCCTTTCCACACCCTCATGGCTCTCACAGATGGACACAAGCCATGTCGAGGAATAGCCATTCCACAAGGGAAGATGTGCTGGGTTCATGCAGAGGTGTGGGGCCAGAGGCAGGAGATGCCATGCAGGCTCTGGGGTTGGCTGGGGGAGGTGACGCTTAAACTGGGCCTCAAGGCTCAGTGGGCTCTAGGTATGTGGAGATGGAAGGGAAGGACTTCCCCAGAAAAGCCCTATCAGGGGTGACTAAAGGATACAGAGGAGAAACAGAGGCCACTGGAGGAGGCAGCTACGAGTTGTCAGGCATAGGGAGACGCGGTGTGGAGGGGGCTTCCTCAGGACCAAGACTTTAAGGTTCCCCATGTATCCAAGTGGTAGTCACCTTGACACGCTGGAGTCTCTCTCACATGTGGACCAGGGGTCACACTAATCTTTGCAGAAGAAACAGTGACCCAGTGAGGGTTAAGGACAGGCTACCTGGGTCATAGCCTGATTTGCTATGTGCTTTCCCAGAACCCGGCCCTCACATATGATATGGGTGGCCTGGTCCTGATGCTCTCCCAGGGACCCCAGGGCCACCTTCCATCACTGCTCCAAGAGCCTTGCCTCTCTCTTCCAAAGAAGGACATCCTTGTCTGGCTTCAGCCAGGTCTCAGGGAGGCACATTTTCATTTTGATAGATTGTACAGATTATTCTCCAAAGTGTGACTCAAGCAAATATAAGAGGGCCTCTCTGCTTTCTGTCTCTGAGGTGGATACAGATAATCTAAGAGTTGTTAACTCCAGAGAGGGAAGCGTGGAATCTGCTCAACTGAGGCAGGCTCCTCTGAGAACATTCTGCTCTCCTCCACCTGGGGCCCTGGGGCCTTGCAACCAGGGAGTCCACGCCTCCTACTTTCCATTCATCAGCCCTCACTTCCTCCCTAACAGGAACTTGGCCCAACATCACTAGGAACGCCATCGTCAACTGTGCTGAGATGGTGACCTATGACATCATCAAGGAGAAGCTGCTAGACTATCACCTGCTCACTGGTGAGGCCTTGGGCTCCAGGCAGCTGCACTCCCACAGCATGGAGGGAACCTGGGATTTCAGAGTGGGCACCACTCAGAGCCCCCTGGGTGTTAGAAGGAGCAGAGGAGCAGCGCCCGATAAAAATGCCCAGTGCAGGAGTGCCTCTCTGCTCACTACCGGGGTGCTGACCAATTCACAAATCATTTGATAGAGCCAATTAGACCTTTTAAAAAATACCCAGTCCTTCACTGTAGTGACTAGTGGGAAAGAGCCCTGGGCGGGGAGGCCAGAGACCTGGGTTCCAGCCATCACTTCCCACCATGCAGCTTTAAGTAAGAGTCGCCTTGACTGACTTCATTTTCCTCTAATGCCGTCGTTGGGCTGCATAGCCTTCCAACTCTGATACAGCCCTGGTCTATTTTGCGAGTACGATGGGAGATTTAGAGAGCGCTATCCTTACACTCGAGGAGTTCACAGTTGCACGAGGAACACACGATGATGCACATGGAACAGAAAGCAAGCGTGCTGCCATCTCACGGCTCGGTATTTGCCCCACCCTTCCCTTCCCTGCTACAGACAACTTCCCCTGCCACTTCATCTCTGCCTTTGGAGCCGGCTTCTGTGCCACAGTGGTGGCCTCCCCCGTGGATGTGGTGAAGACCCGGTACATGAACTCACCCCCAGGCCAATACCGCAGCCCCCTGGACTGTATGCTGAAGATGGTGGCCCACGAGGGCCCCACAGCCTTCTATAAGGGGTGAGCCTCCCCCTCCTACCTCCAGCACCACCTCCCAGACAACCTGGGCTTGTTTCCTTCCCTCCTTCCTTCTTTCCCTCCTCCCACGTAAAATGTGCCTGCCATGAGTTTACCTGGAGACATGGTGGTGAACAGCACAGGTGTAAATGCCACAAAGGAAAAATATAAAGAACTACGGGAGTTAAAAAAAAAAAAAAAAGTAGACCAAATCTGATTTGGCGAGTCAGGGGAGGCTTGTCTGAAGAAAGAAGTCTAGGCCTAGGCCAAGTGCTATCTATCCCCAAACTTACTGGGCAGGAGAGAAGGAGGGAACAGTGGTTGCCCATCTGGACTTTTCTCCAACACGCAGCCATGACTGTGGAACACCACCGATGGCGGCCAAAATGCCCAACACACGTCACATTTTCTTGCTTCCGTGTCTTTGCTTTTACCATTCCCTCTTAATGGCATGCCTTAAATCTTAGCCGTGCTTCAGAACTAGTTCAAATGCCACCTCCTCCCCAACACTCTCAGGTATAAATTTTTCCTCCTCCCTATGAACTTCAGCAAAACTTCCTTTGCACCATTTTTTATGGTATTTACCTCCTCCTATTTTGTATTATAGGTTTTGTAAGTTTAAACTATGCCCCATGCTAGATCATAAGCTCCTTGTAGCCAGAACTGGTGGATTATACATCTTTCACCCCCCAGAGTCCTTAGCCAAAAGCCAGCACTCAATAACATAGGCTATTAACTATCACCATAAACGCTAAGTCACTAAGTACAAGGCCTAATGCAATGCATTTTACACAGATTATCTCAACACCCCCCTGAACTGGGCAGTATTCTCCACATTTGCTAAGGAAGAAACTGAGACTCAGAAAGGTCAAGTAACATGTCCATGATCACTAACTTAAAATGCCAGAGCCGTGGCTCTAACCCGGATCAGCAGATGCCACCTCGCATGTTGTGATCCGTTCTCCTGCCAAGCTCTTTGCTTGGTCCTCACACCTCCCACCACTGATGCCTTCAGCAGACAGTTCTCTGGTACCCGATATTAGACTGCACCAAACATGCAATCAGGTTCTCAACCCTGGGAGTGACATAATAAAACTATTTCAATTGGCAGACTTTTTTCCAATAAGTCTCCGATATTATTTCCAATAATAATTTCCAATAAGTGCTTCTATCGGTACAATCATCGGCGGTAGCCACCTGTCTCCATTTATTCTTTCACTTGGAAAACATTTACTGAGCCTCTCCTGTGTGCTGGGCCCTGTGCTTCCCTCAGAGAGCAGCAGACACATAGGTGATGTTTATCGAGCATTTACTGATACTGGGCCCTGCTCTGTGTGCTGTACATCAGCTCACTGAATCCTTCACAACAACGCTATGAGGTGAATACGATTATTGTACTCATTTTACAGATGAGGACACTGAGGCTTAGGAAGATTCAGTAACTTGTCCTCGGTCATGAAGCTAGAGGCTGACAGAGCAAGGATTTGAACCCAGGTCTGATTCTGGAGTTCACAGTCATTGCCTCAGTGCTATACAGTGGCGCCTCGGCTGAGGGTTCTGGAGAGGCCTTGGCATGAGGCTGCGGTGCCCAAGCCGCGTCCTACAGAGCCGAAAGCGGCCCTCCAGGCAAGGAGGAGAGTAGGGGACATCCCCGGACAGAGAGAACAACACAAACAGAGCCACGGAAGCAAGTCGGCGGGAGAGAGGACCCGGAGAGGATCAGCAGAGAGAGAGGCTGAGGAGGGAGTAGGGCCAGGTCACGGGCTCCTCCCTGGGTCTGCGAAGCTAAGGTGGGGACTGTCTCCCAGCTGCACTATCACAGGACAGGCAGGCTCTCTGGAGATTAGCTAAATTTGGTGTCACCCAGTCTTCACCCTGCGGTGAGCCAGCTTCCAGGTGCCCTGGTGGGACCTCCTCAGGGATCGCCCCTCAGCCTGTAAATGATCCCAGAAACACCCAGCAGCAGGGCGGAGTCAGGTGGTTTTAGTTGAGCTCCTCAACTACCCTGGGCCTCAGTTTTTTTTTTTTAAGGTTTTTATTTCTGAGAGAGATAGAGAGACAGCGTGAACAGGGGAGGGTCAGAGAGAGAGGAAGACACAGAATCTGAAGCAGGCTCCAGGCTCTGAGCTAGCTGTCAACACAGAGCCTGACACGGGGCTCGAACCCACGAACCGTGAGATCATGACCTGAGCCGAAGTCGGACGCTTAACCGACCGAGCCACCCAGGCACCCCCCGCCCCCTCAGTTTCTTTTAAAAAAGAAACCTGGCAACCATCACAGCTACCTTATAGCACTGTGGGAGCTAACTGCCTACCACAGAGCCTGGCTCAAAATGTGTTTTCCTCCCTTTCCTGACTCCCGCTTCTGCCTAAATGCCTTCAGCAGAGAAGAAAAAGCCTCGACAGATCTCAGAAAATGCTCACGACTACCAGAAGCCTAGGCGCTTTCACACTAACACCATGAGTGGGGGGAGCACTGGAGACCTCTTTGGGACTCGTAGTCCACACCACCTGATGTTTTGGCTGTTTCTCTCATCAGGTTTACACCATCGTTTTTACGCTTGGGAGCCTGGAATGTGGTGATGTTCGTGACCTACGAGCAGCTGAAACGGGCCTTGATGAACGTGCAGATGCTACGGGAATCTCCGTTCTGAATAAGGCAGGGCCACTCGGTACTTAACCAGAACAAAATCAGTTAAGACTTTACTAAAGCAGTGGGTCCGTGCACACACAAGCCCACACATGTTTACAGAACTGTTTACTTGCTGCTGAGTCAAGAAACAGAGGCGGAGGAAGGATTCTGGCCTTCAGTGCTTTGTCTTAAGAACACGATTGTTTTTGCACTGACAAGATGTAAAATAAATTATATTAATTTGGGGGACCCATTAAGTTGGACGCCTAATATTTAGGCAAGAGAAAATAAACCAAAAGATACATGTGGAAAAAACAGAAGTTTACAAACTACATCCTCTTAAAAAAAAAAAATCTGGTTAGACGATGAACCGTAGGAAGGACAGGAAGGACTGCATGCACGGGACGGGAGGGACACATGGGACAGGAGGGACACAGGGCACTTGGAAATCAGCTAAGGGATTTGGAGGGACGCTGCCCAAGCAACATAGCTGGGGCTGCAGCCTTCGGTTAAGTGTGAATCATCAGCCATACGTGTAATGTGTCTGCCATGTAGAAGCTATTGGGATTCTAGAAAATATGAGACAAGAGAGAGAGAGGGAGAGAGAGAGAAAACCTGGGCCAGCAGGAGGCTGCGATTCATAACTGCTCCCTGAGGATACTGGAAAAGGAAGACGGCAGACTCCATCTTCCTGCTTGTAAAATGGCAGTAGTAATCCCTTCCCTTCTATCACACCAGGGATGTTATGAGGCTCAAGTGATAAGGTGGACAGGAAAGCACTCTATAAAGGTAAAAGCTTCTATATTTACAAGTGTAAACATAAGGATGAGGCCTTGGGAGAGGTTTTCTCAGGGCACTGAGGAACTTTGAGAGAAGTTTTTGAAAGGTTGAAAGGCTGTCTAGAGGCCAGACCAAAGGAACGAGGGGCTGGGAGGCCAGGGGTGACAGAGAATGACATGCAGTCACCGGAGCCCCACTCCCACGCAGCCCTCGCTTCCCAGCCGGACTGTGAGGCATCCGGAAGGGTGCCAGGCTTGGAGGAAAAGGGGTAGATGTCAGGCTGACAGCCTAAGGTAGCAGGACTCAAGAGTGTTTTGGAAAATTATTATAATTCAATAAAGGCTGTGGGAATGAGAACAGCTATTTCTTTTTGCCTCCTCTTTCTTGGACAGAATGCCCCTTTCTCGCCACGTTTCCTGTTTGTCAGGGCTGGGCCTTTGGCCCTACAGGACCCAATGCCTTCTGCCTTCTCCTGGCTGGCTGCTGGGCCTTTTAGGGCTTTGGCTCCTCCGTCTGTAGGTAAAATGCCGGCTTGAATTGGATGACCTCCTTCTGAACTTTACTGGAGCTCTTTCAGGTTGATAATGCAGACTGGCATGTCGGTCTTTTTCTGCCTCTTAGCAGCCTATGTGGCTCTGATAACAGAACTGGGTTCAAATGTCCCCTCCCCCCACCTCACTAGCAACCTAACCACCGGGAATCCTTGTATCCTGGTGTCCCAGCAGAGAAGGGGAAGTAACAGTCCCCCACCTTGCAGAAGTGCTCAGCAACATCATCCCTACCTCTCCACTCGGACCCCCCTGCACCCTGGGGAAAAGCAAATGTCCTCTCGCCCTCAGCACTATCCTAACTTTAAAGTATAATTTGAGATTATCAACATACACAAACTGGCAAGTCCAAACCAAAGCAAAAAAAATAAAAATGATTTTTATTTAATGTCTCATTTGACCTTCAAATAAAACCTATATTAAAATTTTTCTCTTTCTTTTGACTTGACTGGCATGTGCAAAGCATTCTTAAACCCCAGGTCTCAGTCTGTAAACTCCTACAGGCCAGGAACTCTGTCTTCCATGAATTTCTATATAGGAATATTAACACATCCTCTACCCGGAGCAGACTATGCAGATATTCAGATGGTGATGCCAATAGAGAGAGGGGACCAATTCTACTAAGAGATATTTTGATTGGGATCAGCACCCTAGTGACCTCTGAATCCAGACTTTTGGAGAAAGGACCACAAGATTCGTGGGAGATCTTCTCCACTTTCCCGGGGAAATTTTAGGTCTCTTTCCCCACTTCTTAAAAGCACAGGTTGAAACAAATGACCTAAAGTTCTAAAATTTGGTGATTTTAAGGACTGAGACAGCTTCCTCTAAATGACAGCATGCGTGCCCTTCCTAATCCTGACCCCAGTCTCTGCATCAGGAAGTCACAAATGAGATCTTTTTTTTTTTTTTAATGTTTTATTTATTTCTGAGAGAGAGAGAGACAGCATGAACAGGGGAGGGTCAGAGAGAGAGGGAGACACAGAATCTGAAACAGGCTCCAGGCTCTGAGCTGGCTGTCAGCACAGAGCCCGACGCAGGGCTCAAACCCACAAACCGTGAGATCATGACCTGAGCCGAAGTCGGACACTTAACCGACTGAGCCACCCAGGCGCCCCACAGATGAGATCTTATAAGAAGGTCCGATCACTGTGTGAGGTCCACACAGGGAAGCTGGCTTCTTAGCTCATGCAGCCATTCCCCACTGCACACCTACTCCATCAAGTCATTAAAAGGAAATCTGCAGTCACATGACCCCAATGTTTATAGCAGCACAGTCAACAACAGCCAAAGTATGGAAAGAGCCCCAATGTCCATCGATGGATGAATGGATAAAGAAGATGTAGTATATATATACAATGGAGTAGTACTCAGCAATCAAAAAGAATCAAATCTTGCCATTTGCAACTATGTGGATAGAACTAGAGGATATCATGCATGCTAAGCGAAATTAGTCAGAGAAAGACATCATATGACCTCACTCGTATGAGGTATTTAAGATACAAAACAGATGAACATAAGGGAAGGGAAGCAAAAATAGTACAAAAACTCGTATGAGGTATTTAAGATACAAAACAGATGAACATAAGGGAAGGGAAGCAAAAATAGTACAAAAACAGGGAGGGGGATAAAGCAGACTCTAAAATATAGAGAACAGAGGGTTGCTGGAGGGGTGTGGGGAGGGGACATGGGCTAAATGGCTGAGGGGCATTAAGGAATCTACTCCCGAAATCACTGTTGCACTATATGCTAACTAATTTGGATATAAATTTTAAAAAATAAATTAAAAACAAACAGGGCAAAAAAGGAAATCTGCTTTTTCTCAATCTCCTCAGGCAAAAATGAGATAGTATAGGCCCCAGCTTAGTCACATTAGTGACATCATGGATAACTGACTTCACATAAATCTTGTAAGTAAAGGTAATATTTTTTAAAGGAACACTTTATTCAGAAGAACAAATGTTAAGTAAGGAAATACAATTCTATCTCTATGGATGAGTTAATTTGGGTCAGGACACTTTGAAAACTGCTGAATGCTAAAAAAAGGACAACGTTCATTGTACATACAGTATAAGCCACACGTTGTACTAGGTGCTGAGATAAATAAGGCCAACTCGACCTCCAAGGAGCTCACTGAGGTGGAGGATGGCGGGGCAAGAAAGACAAATAAGCCATACGGAGTGACAAAAGCCACGCTAGCGATACGCATAAGGCACCGAAGAGCAGCGACACCAATGAGGGACACCTGACCTGGTTTGGGGTCCAGGAGGCTTCTTGCAGGAAGACACCTAAAGGATACGTAGGAATTATCTAAGCAAAATAGGGTGGGTAAAGTCATTTTAGGCAGAGGAAATGGCTTCTGCTAAGGCCTAGAAACAAGGCAAGAACAAGGGGCATCCAAGTTTTGCCAGTTGTCAGTATGACTGCATTGCAGTCCCGAACGGAAGCAATGAGAGAAATGGGAATGAAGAAGAAAACAGGGACCTTGAAATGCTGTAGACACCACATATTATGGACTGGATGTTTGTGTCCCCCCCCCCCCCCCCCCCCCGCCAGAATTCATGAGTATTAGATGAGGTCATGAGGGTGGGAACCCCATGATGGGATTAGTGTCCTTATAAGAGGAGGAAGAGAGACCAGAGCTCTCTGTCTCTCCACCATGTGAGGACATGGTGAGAAGACGGTCTGCAAGTCAGGAAGAGGGGCCTCACTAGGGAACCAGATTGGCTAGCACCCTGAGTTGGACCTGCCAGCTTCCAGAACAATGAGAAATAAAGCCCTGTTATTTAAGCCACCAATCTACGGTACTTTGTTATGGCAGCCCGAGCCGACTAAAACACCAACCACATCAAGGAGTCTGGAGTAATTGGGTAATGTGGAGCCGCTGGAGTGTTTCAAGGAGGGAGTGATTAGCTGCGCTGTGGAGAATGAGTTAACGGAGTGGCCTCTGGTAAGACGAGGCTGTTGTTGAAACCCAGGCAAGGGTACTAAAAGTGAGAGGTGAGTGAACAGAATGGTAACAAAATCAACAATCCTTGGAAAGATTCCATCAGGACACAGTACTAAGAAAAGAGACGATGATACATGTTTTAAACAACATAGAAATATCCTCAGTAATATTCCTAGCAAATTATTTTCTGGCCCCTCAACCAAATCGCTTGTGTATTAGAAGCCTCACCATTTCCAGCTCTTCCTAGGAGAGAGCTTTCTGATAATGAACCAAAAGCACAGACCTTGTACCATTTATTCCTTTGCTCACTTCTTTTTTTTTTTTTTAATGTTGTTAATGTCTTATTTATTTCTGAGACAGAGAGAGAGACAGCGTGAGCAGGGGAGGGAAGAGAGAGAGGGGGAGATACAGAATCTGAAACAGGCTCCAGGCTCTGAGCTGGCTGTCAGCATAGAGCCCGACACGGGGCTCAAACCCATGAACCGTGAGATCATGACCTGAGCCGAAGTTGAACGCTTAACTGACTGAGCCACCCAGGCACAGTGTCCTTCAAAGCACAAAAGTTTTTAATTTTCATGAGCCCCAATTTGTCTATACCCTTCCTTTGCCCACTTCTGTTACCTCTTAGGCGTATCTCTTCTGACACACATGGGCAACTTAGGTGCCCCTCTGATAGAGTCCCACAGCTCTGGTTACGCTGTGTTTACCTGCCTGGCAGTCCCATGAGCCTGTAAATTCTTGGCAGGC